TTACTTCTTCAAAATGTATAAACTAGTTCCAGGGTTACTGAGGTAGTGCTGTTTGGATGCTTTGCTGAAGTCTTTTCTCACTTCTGCAATTTAGGGCACAAGGCATTCTTTCCTTTAGAGTGTTTCACACTATCTAGGAAAAAAAAAAGTTCCAAACTTCCTTTCTAGTGAAGCAATTTCAGTTCTTGAACAACAGCAGGAAAAAATATATATAGCATTACCTGCTTTTGCAAATTCCTAACGGGGGACACTATTTTCGCCAGGGCTTGACTGGTTTGCTTCTCAGTGCCTAGAGCAGGCCAGCCTATCCACAAGAAAAACGTTTGGATGGACTATCTTCTTCACTGCTCTCACTGCTGAGGTCAAAGCAACCAGTGATGCCGCTGAGGGGGAAACCAGCTCTTCACCCATCAGGCAGACCAACAACACTTCAAAGTGGGGCACAAGAAGGACCCAGCAGCCCAAAGTGTCTTCACTCCCCTTTCTGTTACATAAGCAAGGCAAAGCTCCTTTTTGTAATCCTCCTCCTCTTTCTCAAGCATTAAGGGAAGGGAGAGGAAGGGAGAGGAAGGGAGAGGAAGGGAGAGGAAGGGAGAGGAAGGGAGAGGAAGGGAGAGGAAGGGAGAGGAAGGGAGAGGAAGGGAGAGGAAGGGAGAGGAAGGGAGAGGAAGGGAGAGGAAGGGAGAGGAAGGGAGAGGAAGGGAGAGGAAGGGAGAGGAAGGGAGAGGAAGGGAGAGGAAGGGAGAGGAAGGGAGAGGAAGGGAGAGGAAGGGAGAGGAAGGGAGAGGAAGGGAGAGGAAGGGAGAGGAAGGGAGAGGAAGGGAGAGGAAGGGAGAGGAAGGGAGAGGAAGGGAGAGGAAGGGAGAGGAAGGGAGAGGAAGGGAGAGGAAGGGAGAGGAAGGGAGAGGAAGGGAGAGGAAGGGAGAGGAAGGGAGAGGAAGGGAGAGGAAGGGAGAGGAAGGGAGAGGAAGGGAGAGGAAGGGAGAGGAAGGGAGAGGAAGGGAGAGGAAGGGAGAGGAAGGGAGAGGAAGGGAGAGGAAGGGAGAGGAAGGGAGAGGAAGGGAGAGGAAGGGAGAGGAAGGGAGAGGAAGGGAGAGGAAGGGAGAGGAAGGGAGAGGAAGGGAGAGGAAGGGAGAGGAAGGGAGAGGAAGGGAGAGGAAGGGAGAGGAAGGGAGAGGAAGGGAGAGGAAGGGAGAGGAAGGGAGAGGAAGGGAGAGGAAGGGAGAGGAGGGAGAGGAAGGGAGAGGAAGGGAGAGGAAGGGAGAGGAAGGGAGAGGAAGGGAGAGGAAGGGAGAGGAAGGGAGAGGAAGGGAGAGGAAGGGAGAGGAAGGGAGAGGAAGGGAGAGGAAGGGAGAGGAAGGGAGAGGAAGGGAGAGGAAGGGAGAGGAAGGGAGAGGAAGGGAGAGGAAGGGAGAGGAAGGGAGAGGAAGGGAGAGGAAGGGAGAGGAAGGGAGAGGAAGGGAGAGGAAGGGAGAGGAAGGGAGAGGAAGGGAGAGGAAGGGAGAGGAAGGGAGAGGAAGGGAGAGGAAGGGAGAGGAAGGGAGAGGAAGGGAGAGGAAGGGAGAGGAAGGGAGAGGAAGGGAGAGGAAGGGAGAGGAAGGGAGAGGAAGGGAGAGGAAGGGAGAGGAAGGGAGAGGAAGGGAGAGGAAGGGAGAGGAAGGGAGAGGAAGGGAGAGGAAGGGAGAGGAAGGGAGAGGAAGGGAGAGGAAGGGAGAGGAAGGGAGAGGAAGGGAGAGGAAGGGAGAGGAAGGGAGAGGAAGGGAGAGGAAGGGAGAGGAAGGGAGAGGAAGGGAGAGGAAGGGAGAGGAAGGGAGAGGAAGGGAGAGGAAGGGAGAGGAAGGGAGAGGAAGGGAGAGGAAGGGAGAGGAAGGGAGAGGAAGGGAGAGGAAGGGAGAGGAAGGGAGAGGAAGGGAGAGGAAGGGAGAGGAAGGGAGAGGAAGGGAGAGGAAGGGAGAGGAAGGGAGAGGAAGGGAGAGGAAGGGAGAGGAAGGGAGAGGAAGGGAGAGGAAGGGAGAGGAAGGGAGAGGAAGGACGAGGAAGGACGAGGAAGGACGAGGAAGGGAGAGGAAGGACGAGGAAGGGAGAGGAAGGGAGAGGAAGGGAGGAGGAAGGACAGTTATGGAGACCTGCAGCACTTGCCTAGTCCTCCAGGTTTGCTTAATAGGAGCCCAGGAGAACCCATTTGTCTCAAACAACAAGCTGTGCATGTGCACCAAGAAGTCTTTCGCCAAAGTGTGTTGCCTTGTTACCGTTAAGGTGTGGCCTAATCCGAGTCCCATTAACACTAAACAGAACACATACAAGGAATTTTTTAAGGTGTAACTATAGCATTGTCTCTCCACCAGTCTAAAAAAGAAAATGAAGCAACAGCAATGACTGACACAAATCCAAACTCTTGCACAAAACATAAAAGCTTACATTGTACTGCTACTAAGAAGTAGATGACTTTACATCTTGTTATCTCTGAACAATCCCAGTATTATTTGCCATTTAAGATTTTTTGTTCTTTTTCTGTGCTGCTGACAAGCCATTTTCCAGCCTCCTATCCTTCTAGGACTTACCAGAGTCCACTGCAAGCACAGATCAATTGCAGTCATGAAGCTATGTTTACAGAGTGACAACAGCAGATATTTTTCTGTTGTTGACTTGTCAAAAGTACTAATTTATATATTCAAATTGCTTTAGACAAAACTAGCAAATTAAACGTGATTTTTGTTCATCTTCTGACAAATTACTAGGTGGTATTCCATTTCCCATTAGGTTTCCAGAAAGAAAAAAAAAAAAAAAGTAGTCAAACCCAGCCTCCCATGTTCCAGGCTTCAGAGGAAACATCCTTTGAACATCTAAGCCACCATCCACAAGAGCAGCAGCAAAGTGGCATGTTTAGGGGGCACTGTTTTTCTCCATGTGGTGTGCTGGGGGCCGGGCCAGTGCAGCCCTTCTTGCCCTTTGCTACAGCTGATGTAGCATATCATGCTAGACTGAAAGTAGAGGTAAGTCCATTCCCCTGGAAACACCTGCTTTAGTTGGTCTGCTGGATGACTGGACACAGACATTTTGAAAGCTAGAATTGGTGTTGAAGCCTTCAGCTGGCTGTCACTGATCTGCAGTATTCCTTAAAATATTGCAAAACATATTTATGCCATAGCTGTAAGATTAGTAAACTTCAGCATGCCAAAAACAATGCACAAGTGATAGCTGTTACTCTGAATCACTCTAGTATGGCCATTTATTTTGGCAACTGACTGGACACACAACTTCAGCTGTATGCTCTTAAATATTCTTGTGCTCCATTTTGTGCTTACCTAAGTGGCCCAGACCAAGCCCTACCCCTCATTTCAATCCATATTCTGTTGTCTTAAAGTAGCGCTGTAAGTATTCAGACTCTTGGAGGAAGGTTTCAATTTGCAGACCTAGTCTACCATGCTGATTTTGTCCAGTTATTGCAAGTCCAATTTAAAGAAAAAATCACAAGAGATATTTGCATTGAAAAGACGGGGGGTTAGGTCAAAACCTTTGAGTATTAAAGATCCACATTGGGCCATGCCCAGAAATCTTTTTATATGGTGATTTTCAAGATGCATGCATTATTGCAAGCACATGGTATGTAAATGCATTGGGCTGCTTAATAAGCATTCACTGACACACATCTGCAGCTTTGCTAATGTACCTTTTATTCGTATGTGGTTGCCAAGGAAACAGGTTATGGCCCAGTATTCTACCTAAAATATACTGAGCAAGTATTCTATAGTAATTTACTTAAAATAGGTACCACTCAGATTTTATAGCCCATTGCTTCTGTAAGTCCAGGTAACCTGAATTTATCGCTGATAATGTTTCACTGATTAGTGTAAGCCACCAATGCCATCTTATTGTCTCTGAAAATTCATTACAGTTTTCTGCATCATACAACATTCTGTATTAAAAGGAAACTTAGATACAGAAAGCATTGAAATATTCTAAGAATTGAGGAAGGTTTTTGTTTAGTTTTGGGGGTTTTTGTTGGAGTAGGTTTTTTTGTTTGTTTTAATTCAGTTCCTTAGCTTACATTTTGTCTGGTACCCTTAATGAATTATTTTTACTTGAGATAGCACAACACTAATGACTGATGCATCAAAATTTCCTACAGAATTTGTGGAAATAGTGCTACTGAAATGAATAAAACCACTGCCTTTCTATAACACAAATCGTAGCACAAAGAATAGTTCAAAATTAGTAAGTTAATCAAGACGACACTAATTCTTTCATTCAATACATACTCATCTGAAATACAAAGCACAGATACCAGACGCTTATTTTAACCAAGAAGGTACCAGACATACTTATTTTAACAGAGATTATTATTGCACATTCACGATGAGAAGGAAACTGCTAATATTTGGAGAAGCAATGCAAAATGGGAAATTCTTGTTTTGAAACATCCTGATTATCACAATACTATACTTGAATCTATTTCAGATTATGGTTCAAGAGTTCTTTTTACTACCTGATTAATTTATAATGTTAGAGATTAAATTAACTATATACGGCTTAGTTAGAACAACAATACTAGAAACGGGCATTGGCACTGAGGGAGCTCCTCTACCTTTATTGTATGGCACAGATTTATAATGAACATCAGTGACTGCGGTCCAGAGTTAGCATTCTGGCAAAACTCAGGAGGTTTGCTTGCCTGCCAGTACATTTGGTTTTTACAGGTCACTGGAGCCTATTACAAGCTGTTGCAAAGATCTATTCTAACTTATTTTGGTTTTCCAACCTCTATGGCAATAAAAATCCAGCAGGAGCTGGAAAAACCCAACAGCATTCATGTGAGAATAGAGTAATGCAGTACCATAGCGAGAACAGCTCCTAAATGATTATGCAAAAGGTAGAACTTCCAACTGAAAAACAACAATATTGTAATACAGTGGATTAAAAATGTTAAATATTTTAGCATTTTTTCTCTGTGAATTTAAAGAGATTTCAGCTTGCTATAATCAACCCAGAAATTTACTCACCCAAAATCAGGTTGTTCTTGTGTTATAGTCTTCAAAAAGTGGTATTGACAGGTATTTTCAGCAAAACCATCTCCGTGATTTTGTGAACCATGTGGCTACTGTGTACCAGCCTGCAAAGGAGAAAATCCAAATTTAATGACTAAATTATTAGACAAGTACTAATTCCCAGATACACTGTATAATCCATCATTTTCCCTGGAGCACTGTAGGACTCCAAATCTGTATCTGGGAGGCTTACAACACACCAGCAATAAAACAGTTCCATTGACCATACTATTGTGAATACTGCTTCTGCCTGCATTGTTTTATTATAGTTTAACCCATAATAGTGCAAACTGGACATAATGTTTCATAATATGTTCAAGATGAGTATAAGGATGTTTTCAATTTCAAAATAATTTTTCATCGGGGTCACTGGAAAAATTATACTAAAACCAATCCTTGGCTTTACTTCCCTTCCCCCATCTCAACTGTATCCACATTATTCCTCACACATTTACCTAATAAGACCTCAAATAACAGAGGCTTCACAGGTTCCTCAGTTAGCCTGGCCCTGAGTTTCACAAGGTAAAGTCAGTGGAAAATAAGTGTGTTCTAAGAGTAGCTTCACAGTTCACCAGTTTAGAAAACAAATCATAGTACAGAGAAAAACTGTTGTCATTACTAGCCAGCTCCCTTGACTGCACATAAACTGCGGAAACCAATTATAAGTTATTTATTTTCAAAGCCTCCATGGGGTTGTTTTTTCCCCTCTTTCAAAGGCCTGTCCCTTCTCCTTTTCTCATTCTGCCACTTCTCTTCTAGTCTCTTTTTGTCACAGGTACCATCACAGTATCTGTGCTAATGACATTTCTAGGTAACTTGTGTTCTTTGGAATACGCTTCCTGTATCTCTCTGCTTAAATGATTATTCACCATTGTCAGACATCCTGATTTTATGTTATTATGTATCAAACATTGCAAAAAGGTTTTCATGTCATAGTGTAAAAATTACTCATTACAGGGCTTGTTCCAAAGATATTAAACAAAATTAAATTGTTCCATAAAGCAACTGCAGAATCTTATGGATAAGGCCTTATGACTCAGCTGATGGGCATTTATATAGCAGCAATTAAGAACACATAGATCATCTTCCATTTGCAAATCTGCCACATACTTTTATAAATAACATTATACAGGGAAAGGAAGATCCATTATTTTGGCTTTAAAATCTAAGAAGGCGAGCTCATTTTTTCTTTTTGGTAGTGGCTTAGCCAAGTACATTTTTAGCATATCTTGATTTGAGTAGGTATTCTATAGCTTGCATCTGCCCATAACAAAGACCAGAATGAAAGAAAATTCCATTAAGCTATTATTACTCTTTCAGATACTAATAATGTCATACTCACAAATGACTGTGAACTATTACTGTGAGTGAGAAGCTTAAGCATTGCATTTGGAGGAATACTTGGAGGTAAAATATTTTCTCAAAGCTAAAGAATTTCTAAATTTAATAATAATTCAAGTGTAGTGTTAAACATAATCACACCTTTTAAAAGATAATAAAGCAACTCACATGATAAAGTGCATCAGACACTAGATACCCCCAAAGGGTTAACTGGTACCTATTCATTACTACCAGAGTCTAAAAGGCTGACAAATATTATCTGAACTCAGATAGTTTCACACTGAGACACCTGCAGTTTCAAATCAAGATGAAGTTTAGAGGCAGAAGTAATCTTAATCAGAAAGGTCATTGAAAAGCAAGTTGAATAGCATCTGACAATGATTTTTAGTTTGATTTCATTTTCAGTCATGCTCTGTACAGATTTTCTGTTAGGCAGAAATGGTATTTGCATGGATAAAACCACATTTCAATTAAAAATCAACAATAAGGCTTCTACAATAAACAGGAAAAAAAATCCCCCAAAACAAAAATTCCAAAACCCAAACCCCACAACAAACCACCGAGCCCCCCTAACAGTAACATTTGCAGCCTGTGCTGGAGGTGTGAAAAACTGCACCTGCTCCTGTGTGCTCCAGTTAGCCCCCTTAGCCAAAGAAAATAAAATGGATCAAGTTTACAGAGGATTTCTTATGGCATCTCTGGCTATAACATTCTGACACTCTGCATTAGCTAGATGTAACTACCATTAAAATACATATAGCAGCCTACATATAATAGGCAAACCGAACACAGCTTGTTAATTACTGGACTCTTCCCCTAATAAATACATCACTTTCTTTAGCTAGAAGAAATTATCATTCACAGGCTGCCAGTGAGTTTTTCCAGACTCACGAAAGCACTTGAGTTCAGTCATATTAAATGCAAGAGGACTTGTACCCCCTAATAAAAGGGCAAATTTGCAAATGGATTTAAACCCACCATAGTGAAGCATGCTCATGTAACTGAGCGGCACATTGTTTTTTTTTTAATGCCTTGAGTGGGTATGTTTGAACACAAAGACATACTAAAAACAGTTTATCACTAAGTGCCCTGTCTTTTCTAAAGATAAATATCAGCAGCAATAAATAGATACCTTCTACATAGCATTTGCTCATCAACTTCCTTTAAAAATAACCACACAAGAAATAAACAAGAAAAGCAATTTTGATAGCTACATGTAATGGCACACTCCATATTAGCATTTCAGACAAAAAAAAAAAAAAATAATCAGCAGAAGCAAGCTACTGGAGATAAATCAAATTACAGAAAAATGCAGACTTTAACATATCACTTGAGAGATGCTGTTTATTACATTTTCAGTTCTGCTTCTTTAGGTGGAACAGGAATATTGCACTGTGTCAACCTAATCTCATCATAATGAAGCAATGGTTTTATTGTCAAACATTAGCCTATCAAGATAGACAAGTCATATTCCTGAACAGTTATACTCTGTGTATTTGGAATGCAGTGAAGTGATATATTTAGAAATAAATGAGAATTAGTTTGATATTACCGACACTGTCAAGGCTATTACTGATAATTGGCTGTGCTTGTAAATACCTCCTCTGCATTAATTTTCAGTGCTGGGTCCTCATCCACACAAAATATTCTTAGTCATTTTAAAGTCAAGGACATGAAAGGAAAATGGCTACCCTGCTGCAAAAGTCTCATTGCAGTAGTGAGAATTTCTCAAGTCACGTACAAAGGAGATACACAAGGAGACACTACGTTATAAGCTCAGTAGAGACATTTAGTAACGTCTGATTCTGTGTAAACAGTTACCTGTGGTACACATAAGATTTCACTTTACTGATACTGTTAAAAATAGTAGCTAAAAATAGAAATAAGGAATTATAATACTTAAATTTGGCAAAATCTATAAAGTCTGCAGATACTGCAGACCACAAGCGAGCTTATTCTCTAAAGGCTTGTTTAGGATCTGACAGAAGTTCTTTTCCAATATGCTAAAACACAGTTCTTTACCTGAACTTCAGAATGGATGTACTATTTAAAGAAAGGTTTATTAAGCATTACTATGGCTGAATTCAACCAAGGTGAAAGAAGGTTTAAACATACTGCTGATTCCCTAAATTTCTCAGCTGCTATATATTTCAGTGATACTTTTGATAGTGAAACTATCGCTTTATATGCACACAGTACAAACCTTGACCTGTATGCAAGACTAGGCTAAATTTAAAAAAGAAAACAGGGTACGTTTCTGGAAACAACCAATGCAGAACAGGAATAGAACAGTTTTTGTTGTGCACAGCTTTAAAAACATGGCATCATTTAAGAAACGATAGTTGCATGGGAACATAAAATGAGATGAGATTCTCACTTAGAACTGAAAGAAAACAACAACAAAATTTTCCATTTGCATTGTGATATTGCTATTAAAGAGGAAAACATCTTTCTACATGTCTACTATTGCACCTTTTAAAAGGATTTGGTTGCCAAGGAAACTGGTTCTGGCCCAGTATTAATCTGAAATGAATATATTACAAAAGTTGGTGTAAGTAGTGCAATACTCTGTTTTATTCTTAATGCTCTAAATCAGGTTTTTGTACCTAAGGCTGTTAAATTTTTACTTCATAACCTTTTTTGTGTGAAGTAAAACATACTTCAGTGATCTGATATTCAGTTTAAGCTGACAGGGCCATCTACATCAATCTCTCTCTTTAAAGTCCTTTTACCTTAAAATAAAAAGAAATAGCAGGCTTATGCTTGTACCCAATAGTTAAAATATGAGCATTAAAGCATATTCTTCTTTATTTCGTATTTCGCACAAAACACAAAACCGCTTACGCCAGAATTTAAATATTTTTCATTTCTCTAACCTGCCTCAGTTTTTGTTTGTGTATTTTAACTGCTAGCTCAGTAGTGCTTAGAGCCAGCACAAAAATGTACCTGAATCAATAGGGTTTTCAAAAATTCTTTTGTTGCATAAGCGTCGCCACGCCCTTAGTACATATGATTATTTTAACAGACATGACTGCTCTACTTTCACAATAGATTTTTTTTTTTAAAGCAGATAAGACCAACTGTCATGCCAATATGCAAAGCCAACAATTCAATATTAGGTTGTTTTCAATACCAGCTTAATACGTTTTTTTTTTTACCAAAATCTACATTCCAAAGCCCATTTCATGTTCTTGCAACACTGACGAAGAAATCAGTAAAACATGCAAAACTCAACCTACCTGCATGTATCACTTAGAGCAGTGTTAGCATGGCAGTGCACCCAGCCATTTTTATGTAAAGCAATGGAGATAAGTTCTATTCTTGGTCGTCTTGGTAATTTTTTTGAAGCAGTTGTGAAAAATCAGATGGGAAGCAGCTCAAATAGACCATGATCAGGAGAGCCGAGTTTATCAATAGGGAAAGCAGGAGTGGGGAAAAAAAAAAACAAAACACCAACGTCCTCGATCCAAGGTTTCCCGAAACTGCAACACAAGGTTGTTTGTTTTTTTTTCCTCCTCCTCAGAGGGTTCAAAGCTTGGAGCTGACCACTGCAAAGGCCACTTGTCACATTTACTGAAAATCAGCCTATTGATATCACAGCTGAAAATATAAACTCAACAACCAAAGCCCATTGCACAACGTGGACTGCGTAAGAGTTAAAAATAGATTCGACGTGCCTCCTACCTGCATAATAAATATGTAAGTTGCAAGTGCTTTAATTCGATATTCACATTAATTAACAATACAATATACATTATTTAAACTACAGTAAACGCAAGAAGAAAAAGGGTGACACCATCTGGAAGCACAGTTTGCTTTTTTTTTCTCCCTTTCGAAGGGCTAATAATGTAGTTTTGAATGTGATGACAAGCTAACAGCTCACCACATTGCAAATGAAAAAAGAATTCTTAAGGTGATGCTCAAACATCTAAGCCTGTAATGAAGCACAGACCAGTCTTCCCTACTGCATGACATGGCACACAGACCATTTACATACTCACATTTGAGATACTAGGCACAGTATAATGAATTCAATACACAGCATGCACACAGCACAAGCAACGTTAATCCTGCCTGCCATTTTAGGCTTGCAGAAGTAAGATACATACTGCAGCACAGCTCTGGTAAGGGAGGAGGCAAGGGACAGCTCACCTTAAATGCAGTATCTGATTAATGTTGTAAGTGACATTGCGTATCAGCTACAGAGTCTTGGTTCAACTGGGTGGGAGGGAACAAAGAAAATTGTCATCAACTGGTGATGCAAGATGAGCTCCAGTCTCTAATACTGTTAGCAAACTCCAAATTCTACAATGATATGGTAGTAGGCATTTAAAACTCTTATCAAAATCTGCCTGTGCAATGGCTGAATCCGCCTGCCGAGGAAAACAAAACAATCTTCTTGCCTATTGGAGAAACGCTAGATTGACTACAGCAACATCCTCTCGATGCAGGAAGATTTCATGTCGCTCATATTAAATCCTGGATACATTTGCTGTGCTTTCCTAATTTTTAAGTCTCAAAATTAAAATAAAAAGACAATGATAGCAAAAAGAACATAACTAAATGTCTAATTTTCATGCAAATAAAATATTTTTTTCTGTTTTCTCTCTTTTACAGTTCATCAAAATCCTGAGTAGTATCGACAAACCACACGAACACAGGGTCTCCCGACTGCATGATCAGCTGTCTGTGTCTACGCTACACCCTGTTAACCACAAGCAGTGTTAGAGCTAAATATATCTGCAATGCAGAAACAGTAGGTGCTATGTGGTATACAATTCTGATTAATTATAAGGTTTTTTCCACCCTCAGATATAACAAATTAAAAACTAAAATATTTGGTGCTGATCTTTGTCAGGCACGGTATCTGTCAGACTTACAGAACATAAAAGCTATCCTAAGTATACTGACCTAGATAGCACTAAGAAGACTTAAGCAGCATACAAGCATACTCACTGTCAAAGCAAGGAAAACGAAACAATGATCGTCTAATCAAACTGAAAGCAACAACTCAGTACCACAGTATGAACTCCAAAATGCTGCGTACTGTATATGCACATCTCATGTTATTGGAAGATGCAAAGCTCCTTTGTTTTTTTTTTTTTTCCCCCTCTCTCTCCTCGGAGGCTTTTCTTAGCTACGGTTGCACAATGACATTCTGACATCATGGAGGTCAATGCAGATACTAAAGGGCTGTAGTCTTTAAAAAAAAAATATATAATCTTGTAATATTGAACCACAGCTGCAGAAAATAATAATAATCATAATTAACAATTTCACGTCACCTACTTAACTTCTTCCTGTTCCCTTCCGAGATTAATAGCATCCATATTGTTCAGCCGCATATGTTAAATTGGTATCACCCTCTGCAGAGACTGCAAGAGTAATTGTGGGAATTAGATTTTTAGAAATGTTTTTTAAAAGCTGCTTTTCTGGAAAACTCAAAAATACAATAAAGTATTTTGCAAACATAAAGAAAAAGATACTGGGTGGAGGGGGGTCGGGGGGGGGTGGGGGAGTGGGTGGGGGGATTAAAAACTGGTAACTGGATTTTTAATGCCTAATAAGCAAAACTGGTTGTATTTTCATCGTCCCTGTGTCTCCAAGGGAAGAATAAGACAACCGTGCCGCAGTTGACTACAACCTGAATTACCTTCCTGGAAGGCTAACCCATCAGGTGAGGTAAAACAAACCACACGATGTACCTGTTTCGAGAGCAGAATCCCACACACGCTATCTTAGTGACTTATCACAGCTCCCCATCTCTCTACCTGCAGAATCCGCAAGCTGATACTCAACACACGAACAGAATTGTGAAGATTAACGTGTTAGGTCTCAAAATATTGCACTGAAAGGTTTCTTTAGGTAAACACTGTTCATTATATGTGTAACTGAATATAACTGGTTTCTGGCCAGCTGCTGAAATTGATCTTTGAGAAGCCAGATTTTGTAAAGAGAAGCACTATCTTTCATTTGACCTGCCGATAGAGCTCAGAAATAAAGCAGCCAACTCTTCTCCCACATATTCTCTCTAGGAACCTGTATACGCTATGATTTTTTTTATTTTTTCTTTTTAGCTAAAAGAGCACTTGGTATTAGTTTTCAATTTTAAAAACAAGTATTGCGTTAAATAAGAAAATGTTGCACAGCAGCAACCAGACTGCTGTACGTACATATTCACTTGTAAGAAAATAATCTGATTTTGATTTTTTTTTTTGTCCTCCTTTTTAAATGATTAAATAGGTATCTATGTCATTTTGAGGTTTTTCTTTGGGAAGTTATTTGGCATTTTGTTCTCTTCACTTTAAAGGCTGGGAATGAGATGATCCTAACAGTCAGTGCTTTAAAATATTCAGAATCCCCTTCCATAAATAGCACATCTGTCACACAGAAAGGAACCCAGCCAGCAAAAAGGCAGACCAGACCAGGAAAAACAACCGCTATTCCAATACATGATTACTAAATAAGTTAGGATTTTAGCAATATTACGAAATATTAAAAGCCTTCTGTCAGTGAATGCAGCAGAGGAATAAACATCTCTCAGTGAACAGGGAAGTGAGCTTGTTAAATCTTTATGCCCTTTCTTTAATGAACCATTTTCAGTGATCAGTAATAATTTTCTGAGCTTAGATTTGCAATGATTTTCCTTCAGACTCAATATAATTTCAGTTCAGAAATCAAATTTTAGGCCCTTCTACAGATGCATAATATATAGCATGGTAAATAAATAAATGCAAAAAATTGCAATTGCAGGTTTCACAATGTAGGCTCGAGTTTTCAAGGTAGAGGTATATTTATATGTTATTTCTTAGTCAGAAACTTGGATTTAAGTTCTAACCTGATTTATGCCAAAACTGTCAAGTCCCAAGGCACTGGCTCTCTTGATTTTTGACTTCAACATTCCCTGACTCTGCTAGGTCAGGACAATTTCAGCACATGCTATGAGTTTATGTCAGTTCTTCATTCAATCAGCCTGAAGCAAGGCCATTTCAGATATCCTCACTGGATATCACAGGTCGTTTGTGCTGTAGCCTTTCCCACTTTCAAGCTTCCTATTTGCAAAGATGCTTCTTCCTCTGTTTATCACCACTCAACATCTAATCTCTCCTCACATACTATAGCTTGTCAAAAATCAGTAAGGAATGAGGAGTCCCAGTGTCACTTGGCATTGCAGTCTCCACCTTGCAGTATGTGGTTCCTTAGGGGAAAAGTCCTAGACCTCCAGATTTATCATTTGGAGAGCTGAAGCAAAAGGAGATAGGTGGAAAGACTCGCTTAAAGTCCCTAAAACTGTACTAATTTTTGTCTGAAAGCATTGCCATACCTTGTCCTCCTAAGGAGGAAACATGTGAGGGCAGTCTGATAGACTGGGAACTCTGCCAGTTGCCAAACTCACAGTAGTAAATATCTGAAAAAGACGACTGTCAGACTGAGGAAAAAAGTGACATTCAGTTTTACATGGATTAGCTCACTTGCCTTTATTCAACACAGGCCCAAGCTGGACCAAGAGCATCAATTGTCTCTCGAGCTATAGAAGATACCCAGGATGTGTGAATTATGCTTAGTTACATATTTTTAAAAAAAGCCAAACTTTTTTTTTAACTGTTTGCCAAGTAAACGAGCAATATACAGAAAACAACAGAGTCGATCCCAGCCCACAAGAACTGTAGTTGGCTGTTCTATGAGGCCACCCCTGCAAACCAATGACGAGGGGACATGAAACACAGCTGGGAATCCAGGGTGGGTGTTTCCAAAAGTGCATTCCAGAATCAGCTACAGCCTTTCAACAAACCTGCTCCTGGAATGACTGTTTCAGCCTCTGAATTTAGCTGCATCAATTTTATTTGTCTCTTCATTCCACTAGTGCCGTTGCTAAAAACCACATTGTTCACAAATACTCAGTTTGAAATTAGAGTCCCTTTGGAAAAGAACACACAAACCCTTGATCATGACCTAAATTCTCTGACACTCATGTTCAGTAAAGCATCCGTACACCCAGACATTCAGGCTAGCAATGAACTCGCTGGTCAAATGACTTCTGCCCTGGTTTCAGTTGGGAATCCTACTGCTTACCACATGACGCAGAAGCTACTTCCTTCAGTACTGAAACCTCAGCTAATTGTTGTTGGGTTGTAGAAAAAATATGTAGAGAGAGAAGGAGAAAAGAACTGGTGATAGAACCTCAACAGTTTGCCTTTCTAGAGCCAAAGTAAAGCGCTTTTATACCTGATCCAGCTAACATGCCCTGGACTTCCATTTCTGTATGCACCTAGCTCAAGTTGCCCCAAGGATACGACTAAATCGGTTAAGTGCTAAATGCTTTCCCAGGCTTTTCGAGAATTCCTTCTGTGTCTCTATGGCTAGACAAATTCTTCAGTTATTTGCTGGGACAGAAAACAGTTCTGAGTTATTCCTGTATGTGATTTACACATCTTCATTCTTAATTGCCACACTCACAGAAACAGGCCATCAGAAATAATATCTAAGTGGTCTAAGATTCTTGTTAGATGGGGATGTTTTCAGCACTCCAGAATTAAAAGCAGAGCAGCATTTAAAAGCAGTTCCTCTTACAAAAGGCAAGTACTGAGATTCTACAATAGTAGCAAATACCTGCGTGTTATGAATATATATATATACTGATGTACTGCATTGTACTAATGTGTTATAAATCTGC